CGTCGGATTGCTGAAACGTGGAGTTTTGGGGCTGATGAGATTCACACCAGCAGAAGATCGCAAAGCTCCTGCGGCTGTGGAGATTGCTCTGCGAGTTTCTATTGCAACCCAGGCCATAACTCTTGACGATCCATTACCACGATGATCGATTCACAACCCAAGAGGGGGCTTTGCCAAGGACGAAACGCCGAGCAGCACGAATGCGGGGGATAATCTCATCTGGTGGGCGATCTAACAAAAACGCCATGGATTTCGCAAAGACCCCTGTCATATGGTTCAAGTACATGGTATGATTTTTTTATTACGGGAACCCGGTTGCTGAGATGATGGCTATCAGGTAAGTGTAGAGGTAAACCGTTGTAGAAGACCCGGGTTCGATGCCGAAGGGTCCACTCAACAAGGACTTTTATGCAAAAAATTTTCTAAATAAAAAGCCATTATTCTGGTTCGCCATGTGAGCTATATACAGGAGCAAGTGGTTCGGATTGAAACCAATCCGACAGCTACTAAAATCCCACTATGTTAATATTAGTATACAGCTGTACACTTGGCCCTCACATCATCCCCTCCTTTCGGAATAATGAAAGACCATCAGGGTTTTCTTGTAGACGGGCTTAGATCTGGAGGAACATCAGAAGGAGGCATTGGCGGATCTATAGGTGGTATTAACTACTCCTAATCCCTTTGTATAAAGCATTTCAACCGTTGCACATGCATAATTTCTGGAGAATTAGCCTGTTGGACGTCATGCTGAACCTCATAAACTTGTGGTCCAACTTGCCGCAACACCTGATACGGTCCTTTCCACTGGGCAAGAAGTCCGTTAGATAAACCATGTACTGTAAGATGGGGAAAACAAACTAACACCAAATCATCTATTTTGTACTCCACAGGTGGATAATGATGGGAGTTGTAGCACTATTATTGTCCCACTTGTATGCAGCCTAAGTGTTCAGCAAACTCTGCTCGAACAAGTGGAAGAATGCTTGTCAAATACTGATCCCACGACTTAGCATCGGTAGCTCGTGGCAATTGCGACGGTAAACCCAGCTCCGTTGGTAATATTGGATCATGACCATATAAGAGTTTATATGATGAAGCACTAATAGAACTCTACACCCCTGTGATATATGTATACCGAAGAGATGGCAAATAACCATCCTAATCCAAATGTTGAAAGTTCACATACTTTGCAATCATCCTTTTAAATGTCTAAATGAGCCATTCCTCTAAACTGTCTAATTATGGATGATAAGCACTCGTGAAAGTGTGGCATATCCCCAACCAAGACGACAAAAAATGAAATGCTTGAGCTATAAATATGCAACCATTATCCGAAAGAATCTGCTCTGGACAAGAATGCTCGAACACCACTCGATTAAGGAGGAAGTATCCAAAAACAATTGCAAAGGTGTTAGCAAGAGCACCAACTTCCACCCAATGAGTCAAGTAGTTAAAAGCAATAATAACATACTCATTGCCAACAGTCGACTGTGGAAAAGGTCCCATAAGATCAAATTCCACTAACTCAAACGGACGGGAAACTGTAATTGACTCCAACCGTCCTTCCACGACACGCAGGGGAATATTATGAGCTTGGCACCAAACGCAGCTATGTACATACCGGATAACATCACGTCGCATCTCCAACCAGTAGAAAAACCTACGCAACTTCTCAGTTACACGATGATGTCCCATATGCCCACCTAGCAGTACGACCAATGAAGTTCTTCTGCTTCACTAATGAAGTGACAGCAACATGATCACCTTCAAATAATGTCCGAGAACCATGTAGATATGCATGAAGTTTCTCAAAACCTCAGAGTGCTGCTAAACACTCCTCTATTGTGGAGTAGTTCATCTCCACTGGTTGTAATATACAGCTTATATACACAATGGGATGGCACTGACCAAGCACACTTGAGCTTTCTTGCATCAACACTCCTTCAACACCAATGTTAGAAGCATCCACGCGCAAAATAAAAGGTCGAGTATAGTCAGGATATGCCAAAACCAGAGGAGTCGTCAATAGCTCTTTGAGATCCACAAATGCCCACTCACAATCCGGAGACTAAATGAAAGATGACGTTGATAACTTCAGCAATGCTCGCAATGGTGTAGTGCAATCAAAAATATGATCCACAAAGCGACCGAGATACTGCACTTTGCCCAAGAAGCACTGCACATCATTTACACACTTCAGAGTAGGGAACTTTAGAACAGCCACAAGTTTGTCAAGATCAATTTGCAAACCCTCACGAGAAATATGGTACCTAAGATAAGTTGTGTCCTTGGAACTAAACATGCAGTTTGACCGCTTTAGCTTTGAACTAACGTCCCGTAGCCAATCCAACACTTTACGAACATGATGAACATGCTCCTCCCACGTCCCCTCTGAGTGGATCAAGACATTATCAATGAAGTTAGAAATCACCTCCGGCATATCACAAAGAACCTCATGCATCATCCGTTAGAAAGTTGCTGGAGCATTGTTCAAACCAAACGGCATCACTAAGAACTTATACAATCCAAATGGTATATGAAAAGTAGTCTTAAGAATATCTTCTTTAGCCATTGGTACTTGTCAGTACCCAGAAGCAAGATCTAGCTTGGTGAACTAACAACTTCGCTTTAGAAAATCCAAGAGATCAGCAGTGTGAGGAAGAGGGTACACATCTGGGATCGTCACTTCATTTAATAGATGATAGTCGATGCAAAAACGAATACTCCCATCAAACTTCGTCACAAGATAAAGTTCACATGCCCAAGGACTTTGCGACTTCCAAACAACACCCTTCTCTAACATTTTCTTAAACATTTGCATGTAAAATCTTGATCTCTTTGGGTGACCGACGACGAATAGAAACCTTGATTGGACGAGCATCCCTATTTGGAATCGGATGACATATGGCAATCTTGGCCCCAGACGATATGTCAAAGTAAAAGAGATCAGAATACTCCTTCATCAGCCGGTCAACTACTGCAACACAAAGATTGTCGAAAGGATTGGAAAAGGGAAGAGAAGAACAAGACGGAAATATAGGAGGAAATAGTGGGGGAACAAAAGTAATGGAAGCAAAGGTAAAAGTAGAGGGATGAAGAAGTATAGAAGTGAGAGGAAGGGATGAAATATAAGGAAGTATAAAACAAGGGGAAAAAGCCTCAAAGTCACACTTGGCATGATTGCACTGCAACCAATCCATACCAAGGATGAGGTCAAAACCTTGACTCGGCACCACCCGCAAGAACTGCAACTCAAGCTCGAGATTGCCCACATGCACAACCAAGTCCGCCTCATCCCGTGCACATGCATGTGTATGGCCGTTGCCATAAAGAATGAAAACTGGTTCCACTACACAATGCAAGTGTAAATGGCAACATGTGGCAACAGGTCGAGCAATAGAAGATAAACTCAAACTTGTGTCAATCAACATGGAGAGAATAATAGGAGACCTCTTGTTATAAAAATGAGCTTGGAAAGTAAACACTGGATGAACCGGTGCTAAATAAACCCCTTCATGATACTCCCGAAAGAAAGATGGAAGGGTCACTGAATTATTCGCACAAGGTCCCTCCATTACTCGCACGACTCCTCATTTCCTAGATGCATTGCAGTGTCTAGACCTTCCACTACAGCAGCACCAACAGGATGTTGTTGATGCCAAGGTTTCCACCCAGAAAATGCAGGTCGCCAATCCAAAAAACACTAACAACACCGATAAATATGCCCAACTTCATCACATGCCCAATAGCGAACGTCACGGCCACGACCACATCCTCGCCCTTGTCCTTGGACTCGAGCAACAGCAGCATCAACCTCCATTGGAACAGGACTATCGCCTATAGGAAAAAGAGCAAAAGGACGGGCAGCGAGAAGTGGAAGAGGGGACATCTCATAACATTGTGCTAAGCAAAGAACTACCCCACTTGTCGGTCTGTATTCACTTTAGCTTTGGACTTCCCAATGGTCATCCCATCACCTAACAGCTGGGTATGGCATTCCTAAGCCAAACTGGCTCCACTGGGATCCAACCCCACCCCTGCAGCCTTCAATAGGACAATGTATTCAACAATTTTGCATGCCAAGAAATTGAGTAAATTTTGTTTAACTGGTAAGCTTGACTACACCAGTACCCATTGTGGAGTCACCAATGCAAAATTCTATGAGGCTAAAGGTGTTGGTTCTATTTTCATTGAGATTAACAAATGGCACTATACACATGTCCCAGAAATACAAGAAAATTTCTTATCTATGAGAAGCCTTACTGATACTAGTCTTCAATTTTCTGGAGATCAACACAGTATTACTTTTTATTTTGATGTGGTCAAGGTGATGCATAGTACCTATATATAAGTTTGATGCTATTTTAATGCCTCTCCTTATCAAAGAATCTAACTGGTTCTAGCATAAAAAGTATGGAAGTAGAAATGTCACATACACTTTGGGATTGCTTGCTGATCCTCTCTCCCACCTCTTATTGGTTATGGACAAGATCAGGCTTTTTTCACATTAAAGCCTTAATGTTATGAAAGATCAGTAGTCCAGTGGTGCCTTGGTTCGAGCTATGCAAAAGAATATTTGTGATAGTTACTCATTTTATGCCCTAGATAGCACTTGAAAGTTCGTGGCATTTGGTGCGGTGACAACTGGGACGCTTCCAGATAGAACAGAAAGTGGTAGTTCTGCACCATCAAACTCCTGCTGCTCTCACTAGCAATAATCAAGAGGCACGAGAGATTTAGTTCTCCTGTGGCAGATCAATGCGGGGGTGATCCTAGGGAACTGTAATCACCCCTTTGGCGCTTGTCAAAAGCCTCGACCACGCTCTTGCTGAGAAAGTGTTAAAGCTGACAGTGAGGGTGGCGTCCTCCTTCGCATAAACCTTTCATGTAGACACCATGGAAGTCTGGCTAGTAAATATCCTTGATGCCAAGAATCGGGGTGATTTTTGGGTGCTAAAATCGGGAGGAGTATCAAGCTCGGGCAGGACGGCAGTCTCTCCGAGAAAAAGCGGGCTTGTTTGATTCCCCCAAACCCACCAGGCACATGGAGAACTTCGTCCACTTGAGCTGCCTGAGGATGGAATTGCCTGTTCGTGACAGGAATGGATGGTGAATGTGTGGCGTCGATGCTCCAAGCACAGCCCTGAACCTGGAAAGATCACACCGAAAGCTTACAAAGTCTACTTCTCTGGAAGTTCATACCTCTCAACCTTGGTCCCTGAAAACGTATCCCGCCGCCAAGGCACCAAACACAAGGTCAGCGTCGAGAAAGCTAGACTGCGAGGAGGAGGAGGAGGAGCGACAGGAGGAGCGCCTGCGATTGATCATGTCTTGTCAATGGAATCAGACGAGACAAGAGAGGCTGGAGCCGCCGCTGCGCCGACAGGCCAGGAAATGGACTATCACAGCTGCTGCAGTCTCCAGCTTGCCCACGTCAATCTGCGCAAGGCTGAGGTGCTCCAGCGTCGCAATGCCAGAGCATCCGCATTGATGATCGACGATGATTCAGTATTTGGCTTGCAAGTATTTACAAATATCGGGAAGAGAATCGAACCCGAAACGTTTGTTTTGGGAGACCGATGTCCTAAATGACTGTTCTTGTGAGCAAGTTAGGGTTTTTGGGTTAATTGATATGCATTTTCTGTATTCCCTTTCCATACACAATATAGCAACTTTATTATTATTAAAATATTTAGGTTATTTTATATAAAGTTTAGTCAGTTAATAAAAAGTTATAAGTTCTTTCAATGCATTTTTGAGCATAATTAGATAACAATGCTCACCTCCCTCCATGATTTATAGTGGAAAAGGGCAACACTTGCAATATTACCCCTCCTATTGTGGAACAAAAGTTCTCCACTTATACTTCTATTGCTTAAAGTTTCTCCTTATTGCTAGCTTTAGTAGCAAACACAAGAAAGTGTAACATAGCTTGCAATCCAGCAACTTTGCTACTTCGTTTTCACCAGGATGCATGAAAGATATAAAACCAGCCAAGCACAGATCCTTCAAAGGCAAGAATGGACACATGATCCTAAACTCCTCAAAGAGAAACCCATTTCAAGCCTATAATGATATAAGTATCCAACTCAAGAATTTTTTTTTAACTTGTACATCTTCCTCTGTGGATCTAACAAAGAGTAGTTTTTATCACCCAAAAGCTACAAGAGAAGCTCTCCCAAAGCTCCTCTCTTTTCTCTTTGTGTCAAGTGTATGGAAAATGCAAGCGCCAATTTTCACCTTTTTTGTTCTGTCAAAATACCTCTTGAGGAGTCTGGACAGAATGACTTTTCCGAGAGCTCAGAGTCCTATCATGACAAGCTCAATTAGTGATTTACAGCCACACCAGTTATCACCACCAGTATCACCTTGATCACTCTCATGTGCTTCTCGTTTCTCAGCCACTTGAGCTTTTGGCTCAGAAGCCCTGGCTTCTTCCCTGCTGCTTGTCAAGAACAAATGGCTTAAGAACAAGTGCTTGGAATAGATGGGGAGATAACTCTAGGTACCTTTGCTTTCTCATTCTTCCTTGCCTATCCTTTGCCTTAGAGCGTTTAACAGCAAGCCAAAGTATGGTGCAAGAACCATGCACATTAGGGTGATCACGTTGTATGGCATGCTAAAATCTGGTGTGGCCAGTTGCATCAATGAAAATTTGCTATACATTGGCATTGGACGCTGTCTCTGTAAGAGGGGAGCAAAGACAAAACTCAGACTTGGAAGAAAAAAAACAATCGACTACCTGAATAACAGCCAAAATATGTGAGTGACCGACATCATTACTTTGGAACTGTTTGAACACAGAGCACCTTGGGAAAGTGATAACTGTAGAAGGCAGATCAAATCCATAGTTTGCATCCGGAGGTTGATCGTCAATGTGAAGAAATCCCTGCATGAATGGAACAGCATCATCAAGATCCCTTCCAAAGCAACCAGCAATATCACAAACCTTGTCAGAGTTACGGCCTGGGTTGCAATAGAAACTTGTAGAGGAATCTCCACAGCAGCAAGAGCTTTGCGATCTTCTGCCAGTGTGAATCTCATCAGTCTAACCACAGACCAAAACTCCACGTTTTGGCCATCCAACGAAGCCTGTAGCACGTGGCCATACAAATGAACATACCACAGTATTATCTGGAGGATCATAATGTCAACGTAATTGACTGCCTCGATACCTGAAGAGTAACAGTTCCAAGAAGAACCATCATTTGCTCGAAACGAAATGATGATGGATCCCCTTGCATTCCCGCTGCCAGCCAAGTACCAGCTTGTGTAGAACCGAGACCAATCCACCGGGGCTCTCCAAGTGACTCCAAGATCAAGCTCGCTGTGCGTGCCAGCTTCATACTCGAGTAAAAGAGAGCCTGAAGAGGAGGTAACCACCTGATTTGGAGCAGAGCTGACTATTGTCCACAAAGTTGATGCCTATTTCTTCACTGAGATCTCTAGCCAAGTGCTTCGCCAAGCTCTCCTCCAGCTCCAGATAGACACTACTTGTAGTTGCAAGCAGGCACTTGCCTTCCAGCTTTGAGCCAAACATCCTGGAGAGTGTCCAGCCTTGCAGCTTGGATGACAGATCTTCTGAAACTGCTGGCTTTTGCAAAACAACTGTCAAGGTTAACATCCAATTTTGAATATTAAGGCTATTGGGATGAAAAACATTTAATCAACTTATACAAAAATAACAAGATCGTTAGTATTACTACATTTTTTATGGCATCCATTGCAATGACAAAAATCCATAGTTCATACATCATTAGGATTAGCTATGATTTGTATTTGATTCATTTATTTTTTTAAATTACACCTTATAAATCTTTATCATTTATATGTATTTTCTTAACAATGTAGGTATCATGTATAGTGAAATCATTGTAGAGAAATAGTTTATGTTTTTCTTAGAAAAACTTGCAAAATGGTGAGTGACTTTACCTAATGTAATCTATAAATCATGTAATTTTATTTTGAAATCACAACTTTGGGAATATTGTCTCATATGTAATAAGATTGTCTTCAAATCAAAGTAACTAATGCACAAGCAAAACATTAGCACATTAGATGAGTTGCAATGATTGGCTAATATAGTTTTCACTTCTAGTTCTACCATTACCTAATCACTAAAGGATTAGAATTTCTTTACCACAAATTAGGCCATCATGAAAAGCACTCTAAAGAAAGTGTTATACATTGTTATATTCCTTTAGCTGGTTTTTGTAATACAAACATAGAAATGTACAACAAATTTAATAAAGAATTTATATGTGCTACAATGACACAAGATATGAATCTTCCCTTTTCCTTTGAGACCATTGATAAGTTTCATATGCTACTAAGTTATTTCTCATAAAAGCAAGAACAACAATATGGTTAAAGTTTTCAAAGTTTCTTCTTCTGTTAGTTATTTTTAATTTAGTGCTGAGAATTCCATAGAATATATATATGGATGTACTAGTTACTAATTTACAAGGATTAAGTTCAAAGCAAAGGGAGTCTTTGGCTACAAAATACTCTAGCAATGCAAAGGTGTGCAATCTTAAAGTAGTGGCACAAATTCCACATTTGCAATTATAAGGATGAACACAATCCTAATGAAACACTTGCAAGGTGTGGAGATTCTAGAACTCTATTGTCTCAATTAAAAATTTAAATTTTTTGTACCAACTAATAAAGAATAATATATACTAAGCAAATGTATCTACTACCTTGTTAATAAAGATAAAATAGAACTAGGCTATGTGAGTTTTCTAGGAAAAGTGATTCCGTATCAAGGATTGTGCCAAATTCCTACAATTTTCTGCCTTTGTTTTTAAAGTGCTAATCCTTTGTTCTAGCTTTTTAAATTAATTATAATGAACAAAACATTTATTACATGGATTGCCCATGGAAATGCATAATTTTATATTGGGAGTAGAGTTATATTTCACCAATGAGCGTGATAAGATCCAACTTACAATATTACTTGTGTATTGAAAATTACAAATGAAAGGTTTAACTTACCTCGATTGCAATTTAGTGGGTGCTAGTTTAAACTAGCAAGGACCTGAGCTCTACTAAGAAAAGTAGAATTGCAAAGTATTAGATAATATTTATTTAGGTTATATGATATTAATACTATTGAAAGTTAAATAGTAAATGGAAACTGTAAGTAAGTTTTTATGAAAATGGAGCAATGCATAATTGAATTTTATCATAGAAAGTATCTGTAAGAGAAATAAATTCTCCAATTATGAATATGGAATCTGTTGGTAAAGAAAGAAATTTTAATCAACTTATGGAACAATAAAAAGATCCTGTTATTATTACTACATGCAATGACAAAAATCCATAGTTTATAATTATTAGGTATGGTTAGTATTTGATTAAAAAATTTGAAAAATCACATCTTATAAAGCTTTATTATTTCTACATATTTTTTTTAACAATGTAGATATCTAATATAGTGAAGTTATCCTAGAGAATAATTTATGTTTTTCTTAGAAAAATTTGCAAGCTGGTGAGTGACTTTACCTATGTAATTTATATATCATGTCATCTTATTTTGAAATCCAATGTGTCTGAAATATTGTCTCATATGTGATAAAGTTGTCTTTAAATCAAAGTAAACTAGCAAAACATTTGGATGAGTTTCAATCATTGGATAATGTAGTCTTCACTTCCAGTTCTACTGTTATCTAATCACCAAATAATAGAATTTATTGATCACAAATCAGGCCATCACTACTTAAAAAACTTTAAAGAAAGCATTATAAATTATCATCTTCTTTTTGCAATACAAACATAGGAATATAAAATAAATGCAATAAAGATTATATATGTGCTACAAGGATATAAGATATAGTTGTTCTCTTTTCTTTTGACCGTATTTATAAATGTGCTACTAAATTTTTTCTAAAATAGGTAAGAACAACTACATTCTTAAAGTTTTCAAAGTTTCTCTTGCTATTAGCTATCTTATTTTAGTGTTGAGAAGTCCATAAAATATATCTATATATACTAGTTATGGGGATGGTCCAAAGTTGAGTGAGCTCAATTCAACACAAGTCAACTTAAGTCAACATAGTCAATTAGAAGTCTTACAAAGGAAATATAAATTGAACAAATGAAGGTTCTAACAAACTTTAAAATATTTAAATATGTAAATATTTGAGTTAAAAGTTTCTATAAGATTGAATTGTTTAGAAAAGATAAAGTTCATAAAAATCTATCTTTTATAAAGCTATATTATTTTATTATGACTA